GAATTTATGAAATATAACTTCTCATTTGTGAGAAATAAATATTTGAACACAGATATTTCAGATTCTAAAAACTGCTGAAACACCCGATTTTCTAAAATCAATTTGACACAGTAAATCAACTCCAAAAATTATAAAATTTTGTGGGAAGTTTCTAAACATGTATATGAACATGTTAGAGAAGGAATTTCTTAAATATCAATTCCCATTTGAGAGAAATAAGTTATTTTGTAAACTGGTCGAAAATACGTAACTGTGCAACACTTCATAAGTCGACTTGTATAAGTCGACTTACTATAAGTCGACTTGTCTTGCTTTATAAGTCGACTTAGCAGAGGAGAAAATGCACTTTCTAGAGGAGTTCATAAGTCGACTTGTCAGGGTTATAAGTCGACTTATAAACATGCACAGATACTATTCATGCTGAAAATCTGATTTTTAAAGTGCCTTTAAAAATAACAAATAAATTCCAAAAAAAATATAAAACTTTGGAAAATATTTATAAACATGTTGATGAACATGTTACAAAAGGAATTTTTGGAATTTCACTTATCATTTGTGAAAACTTGTCATATTACAAAAATGTCCAAAACATGTAAACATGAGATACTTGAATTTTGATGTTTTGACATAAACCAAGTTTTGAAACTTTGTAAAATATTTGTATGGACATAATAAAAGATGTTTATGATGTATATATAGTCCAAAACATATTTTTCATAAAAACACCTATATTTACGAAAATCACAAATATATATGTGTGTGTATATTTGAGCTTATAGAATTAACACACATTATATAAAACCTAAACTACGAACATTATAAACTATATACCCAAGCTTGATCTGGATCTTCATTGTAGCTCAACTTGGTACACATGCGGATGAAGCTTGAACTTGATCTTTAACTTTGAATTGGATCTTCATTGTAGCTCAACTTGGTACACATGCGGATGAAGCTTGAACTTGATCTTTAACTTTGAATTGGAAGGCTTCACTCCACTATTCCGCCAACCTCCATTGGATATCATCGTTGTAGCGCATATTCCATCCAACCTCCAACACATTGTTTGTCTAGAATACCTAATAAGAAACATAAATACTAGACAAACAATATTAGGAATTATTTATAATCATCAAAACAAGATTAGAAGATGTAGGCTCATAACATGAGACCTAACACCAAGGGCTCTCATTCATTGTTGTTTACTATAAATAGGGGTAGAGAGTGAGGGGTTGAGGGTGTGAAAATTTTTGTAACTCTATTTAGAGAGAAGGGCTACTCTTAATTGAGAAGGCCTTCTAAAATTGTAACTTTTGTTATAATTAATAATAATAATTTTTTTCACCACTTTAAATTTTTCTCTTCTTCTCTTTGTTGGATTTTTTTCACCACTTTAAATTTTTCTCTTCTTCTCTTTGTTGGATGATGAAGATGAAGATGAAGATGTAGATTAATTTGAAGGTTTGTTTTTCTTATTTCTCTTTTATTGCTTATTAGTTTAGATTTATTTGCATGCTTATAGTTAGATTTTATTTTCTTATTAAATAGCCAAGAGGCTAGAACCCTCTTGCCTTAGATTTATTTCATGCTTATAGATTAGATTTATTTTCTTGTATTTAATTCTTGTAATTTATTTTGTAGTTTAGATTTTGTAATTTATTTTGTAGTTAGATTTTAATTTCTTGCACAAATCACCTTGAGTCTAGAACCCTCTTGGGTTTAGTTTTTCTTTTTGTTTATTTTTATTTTGTTTGATTCGCCTTTAGGCTAGAACCCTCTAGGGAATCACCATTTTCTAAGAAGTGGGTTCAATTTTAGATTACCCATATCTATAATTGAATCTATCATCTTTAATTTCTTGCATTTTATTTTATTCTTGAATTTTATTTATTTTCATTCTTGATTTTTATTTGTTTCTTGATTTTTCCTTCTTGCCTTATTGATCACATTCATTCTTTGTCACATCCACTCTCACTTACATTTTGTGCCTATTTACACATCATTTTCACTCTCTCAATCTCTTTACAATCACATTCACTCATCACTCCTAATTGTCACACACACGACATAAGAACCAATTTTATATTTTCTCCTACAAAATACCTTTCTCATGGGATCGATATCTTTATACTATATAACTTGACACGGTTGTGCACTTGCAACATTTTTGGTACATGTTTATGCTACATTAAGTTTTTGGCGCCGTTACCGGGGAGGGTGCTTAAGTAGGTTTTAATTATTTTGGTTCTTTAACTTGTGTGTTTATTGTGAAGGAAACGCTTGGAGCTTGAAGATCGCGGATTGGAGAACTAGTATTTAAAAATTTGCTTTCGGGTAAATCTTCTTTCTAGCATTTTCAATTCCATCCTTTTTAGTTAGCTTCACAATTAGAGACAATTAGTGTTTAAAAAAAAAGATTTTATTTTTGTTGACCATAATAAAATCCATCTTTCACTTTGATATTTACTAACAATATAATAAATTCAAATAATTTCCCCCTTCTCATTTGTTTGATTGTTAACCCTAATTAAAAAAAAAGATTTTTTCTTTTCCATCCTTTTTAGTTGCTTTTAAATTATAGGGTTGCATTTTATATTGTTAGTAGGAATTCACCAAGTGATTTGAGCATCTTGATTTGACACACACTTAAAAAATATTTTTAAGGGCAAAACCCCATAATCAAGATAAGGTGAGGGATTTCATCACCATTTCCTTAGCCCAAAAATCACTAATTCCTCACTACACTACCCAAGCCTAATAAAACTCATTAGACGTTGGCCCTAAGGACTCGAGCTCAATAAGGAACAAGAAATCCTGAAGTGAACCGGTTTAAGTTTTCTCAGATTAGTTGGTGTCTAAGGCAAGGTTTAGGGGTTACGTAAAGCACTTCGCAAGGAAAGAGGTACTTAATTGATCTTTGATCACCCTCTAGTACTATCCTTACCTGGCTAACTACCTGGGTAAAACTTTAATCTTTTTACTGTAGGAGTTTTTGGTTAGGAGCTGGTCTAGTTGAGTTAGGCTAACCCTAGAATTAAAGTGATTGAAAAGTGATTGCTTTGATTTGTTTTAGTTAGGATTTTTCTTCTCATAAAAAAACTAATTTTCTTTCTTTCTTTAAAAATAAAAATAAAAAGAAGTTGTTTTTGTGTATGCAAACTTGGGTTAGGGATAATTTTTATCGTTTAATCTGTGTTGAACCAATCCAAGAAATGGCAAATCAACCCGTTCTCAGGATATGTGTTACCCCACCAGAAATACAATTCCATCTTGCATAAGGCTCCCCGAAGCAAATAGAGAAAATTTTAAGCTTAGACCGCATTACATAAACATGCTTCCCAAATTCCTTGGAAATGAAACCGAAGATGCATATATTTTTATTTCGGAATTTGAGGAAGTATGTATTATGATTAAAATGAGAGAATTAACCGAAGATGCGATTAAGCTTAGATTTATTCCATTTGCTCTTAAGGATAAAGCTAAAAAATGGCTGTACAGCTTACCGACAAATTCCATCTCAACTTGGGATGAATTTGTCACCGTTTTTTTAAAGAATTTTTTTCCTATTCACAAAACGATAAAGCTAAGGAACAACATTCAAAAGTTTAAAATTATCCCGGGAGAACCATTCTGGAAATATTTCGACCGATTCAAAGATCTTTTAATCTAATGTCTTCATCATGGTCTAAAAAAATGGCGATTGTGCCAAGTCATATATGAATGATTGGACTATTCTTCAAAAATATCTTTAGAATCGATGTGTCAGGGAGTTTTTATAAGGAAAAATGCAGATGAAGCTTGGGAATTTCTAGAGAGTTTATCCGAGAAAATAATGCAGTGGAAACACTGTGATGACAGGGTTTCATCAGTCCTTAATTCTAAGTCTAGTAGTCCTTCCTTGGAGTCAAACATTGCTTCTGAAGCGAAGATGGCAACGATTCTGTGGAGGTTAGAAGCTTTAGAAGTTAAGGAACGAGCTCCAGCTCAAATCAATCATGTTTCTGCCCAAGGATGTCATAATTGTCAGTCTCCTACCCACGTTTCAGAGGAATGCCCTCTCCTAGGAAATAATCAGCCATTAGGACAGATGAACCCTGCATTTCAGTGCCCTAGAAATGATCCATTTTCTCCAACCTACAATCCAGGTTGAAGAAATCATCCTAACTTTGCATGGAATCAAGGAAATTCTCCCGGAACTCAAAACTTCACTCCCGCTTCAACCCAACAATTTCCTAGGGGAAACACAGTTCCTTTCAATCCACAATTTCAATAACCCAATCTGCCGTATCAAAATCAGTCTCCTCTTCATCAAACTGTAATTCAGACTCCTCACAATCCATATCAGGATAAACGTCTCAATGTCTTGGAAAGGGGTTTGGAAACCATAATTAAGACCTCCACTCAAACCACGAATATGTTGACTCAAACATCCAGCACTCTGAATTTCTTTTTGCAATCAACCGGACAAATGCTCAATTCCAACACTCAAGCTATAGCTAGATTAGAATCCTAACTTGGTCAACTAGCTAGTGCCGTGAGTGAAAGAGAGAAAGGAAAATTTCTGAGTCAACCTGTGATCAACCCTAAGGACACAGGATGCAGTTCATCCTATGAAGCTCAAGTGAATGCAATCCATTCACTTCGGTCAGGTAGACATGTCAATAACCAAGTGAGAACTCCCCCAAGTCAAACTTTTGATCTAGTACAAATTCCTTCTCCTTCTCCTTCTGATGAATCTATTCAACAATCACCCTCCTCAGATGACCAAGAACCTAAACCGGAACCTGAGTCTGCTTTTGATAGGTTTAGACCAGTTGCTCCTTTTCCAGATAGACTCAGGCTTAGCGGGGTAATTTTTGGAACAACAATCTTTGGTGTTATTCATTAGGGTAATTGGAACTGGGGTAATCTATGTGGTGTTATTGGTTTGTTGAGGTAAATATGTGACAAATACACCACTTTCCCCCAAATTATCCCACCTACAAAAGCAATTGGCAGCCCCACCCCAAAATTTTACCCCAAAACGTTTGCTGGAACCAAATTCCCCCAATTGGAGCCGACGAAAATACCCAAGATCCGACCTCCTCTCTCCGCCTCGAGCTCGTGCGGCGCCGTTCTCGAGCTCGTCGGCCGCCTCCTCCGCCTCCTCTCTCCGCCTCGAGATCGTGCGGCGCTGTCTCTAGATCGTCCACCGCCATTCGCCGATCCTGACAACGTCATTCTCGAGCTCGAACACCCGCTCTCACAAGCTTGAAACCCTAACAAACGCCGCATCTCACAAGCTCTCAGTGGAAGAGCAGAAGCAAGAGAACGATTGAGAGAAGGGGACGATGGTTTCACTGAAGCTCCAGAAGAGGCTCGCCTCGAGCATCCTCAAGTGTGGAAAGGGCAAAGTTTGGCTCGATCCTAATGAAGTGAACGAGATTTCCATGGCCAATTCAAGTAAGATCCTCTTCTTCATCCAGATTAGGGTTAGGGCTTCACATAGAGTTTATGATTTATTTGGTTTACTTGATTTCAAGTACAGGCACAGTTGATGTGGTTATGATTATGCAGTGAATAAATTTCTGTTATATAGCTTTTCCTACTTGCTTTGAATTTCACCTGGCCTGGCAATTTGAATCGGGGTATATCAATTTGTGCTTTGAATTTCACCTGGAAATTTAAATTGGAATATATCAATTTGCACACAAGATTTTGGATTCTTTCAAAGACTAAGTGATCCTAATTATGACTAAAATAGACCTTTTGTTTCAATAATTGGTTAGCAACAAGTTATTTGAGAATGATAGCTGGAGGTTGGGAGCTTGTTTTATTCCAGGGTTAACTTAACTCAGGATAATCCTGTGATATAATAATCCAAGAGACTGTAGTGAGTTAAATTTTTAATAATATCTTTGGTTTAGTTTGTCATTAACACTTCTAATATGTATGTATGTTTGGGAATTTGTCACTATAAGGTAGTATATGATTAGGACATAACAGCAAATAACCACAATTCCCTTCTGCCTATCTGTCTTGACTTTAGTTTTCAATTTATATGTTTGGAGATTCATTATTGGATATCTATCGTAGCAGAATAAATGCTACAATGTTTGGAGATTCATTATTGGATATCTATCCTAGCAGATGAATGACATGCAACCTTTTCGTTATCTGGAATGCACCATGGCACTAATTTTCAACAAATCAATGGAGTTTAGATAACTGAGAGCAAAAAGAGAGTTATTATGTTTAATTAGTCATAAAACTATTTACAGACAATAAGTATATTCTACATGCTAGTAGATGAATCCATGTTTGGAGATTCATTATTGATTGTACTCGGTTTCCAATTTTCAAGAGGATATGCTTAAAAGTTTTTAATAATTCTGTGCAACGCTTTTGTTAATAGCAGGAGCAAAATGATGAAACTAAAACTAAATATTGTTGTTTAACTTGGCTAACAACTCATTTCCCCGCTTAGAGTTAAGTCATTCAGTCATTTAGCACAGATTATTTATGGATGTTACATCTATTCATTATAAGAAATTTTGTTGTTGTTCAGTTCGTTGCCTCAAGTTATGATATCTATTTTCTTTTACCTACTTGCAGATAGCTGAAACCACATCCAAAATCTACCTCGTCAACTGCTTGTCAGCTATTCAGCAACCATTAATAGGACACGAGGTCACTGCAAAATATGTGAACCACCTTTCCTCTATCATCGAGACACACACCAATATCCTTGTAGAAAAAGAAATAGATGCCATACTCCTGAGATGCGGTCTATTGAGCAAGATATGCTACGTTCAGACTTTGAATGATGAGCATGGGCCTTTAGCGGAGGTTGAAGATATGTCTCCGCAAGTTATGTCAGAATGCTTAAGAACCTTTTTTGGGCTTGTCACCGGAAATGAAGGCTCCTTACCAGAGTTTGAACAGTTGCAAGTGCCTAAATTGCGTGATGAAGCATCCGCTCGTGTTTCTAGGGCTCTTTCAGGAGCATACGAGCTTCTCTAAGGAGTAATCACCGATCCTCAGAATCATTACCCTGATCCAAAGTCACTGGTGAGGCATTCACCAGATCAGATTAGAACCATATTGGAGATTTAAAGGCCCGTTTCAGCGTTCTTGATGTGTTGTTAATCTGTAGGCCGAACTGATTTATAGTACAACTTTTCTTGGAACATCAAAAACTCTTTTATCAAAGAGATATTTTGATGTAGTTTTCGTGCACCAGTTGTTACTGATTTCAGGCTGTGTAATTCATTGCGCTGTTCTTTGAAGGGCCCAAATATTTGGTGATAGGAACACCTTAATTTCAGATGAATATTTTAAGGAGATGTATACGGGTATCTGGGTATATGATTGTATAATTTTGGTGAATAATTCGAAGTTTAAGAATAAATATTGTGCTATTCTCAGCGAGTTCTATTTGTGGTAATGTAGTCTTCTACTTTTAGTTTACACAGTATTTTGATGAATTCTTGAATACTAATTCATCTTTTCAAGTTAAACTTAGTCATTTGATGTTATATCAAGTTAAACTTGAACTTAATTGAGCTATAAATATAATATTATAAATAGATGTCATAACAATTGTCCTACTCAAATTATCCCATTATCCCATTTTACCCCACTTTATCCCACTCAAATTATCTCATTGGGTAAAATTACCCCATTGGAACAATTTAACCCAATTTACCCCAAATTACTCCAATGAATAACCCCCCTTAGGAAACACTCCCTTCAAGAGGAGAAGATCCTAGAAACATTCAAACAGGTTAAGGTCAATATTCCTCTCTTAGATGTAATTGAACAAATTTCATCTTATGCTAAATTTTTAAAAGATTTATGCATTAAGAAGAGGAGAATAAATGTTCCAAAGAAAGTCTTTTTAGCCGCCAATATCAGTGAAATGCTATCAAATCCCATACCTTTGAAACGTAAAGATCCAGGTTCCCCCATCATTTCATGTATCATTGGTAATACTCACATTGATAAAGCGCTTTTAGACTTAGGGGCCAGTGTCAATTTGCTTCCATATTCAGTCTACCAGCAATTGGGTCTAGGTGTACTGAACCCAACCAAATACACCTTACAGTTGGCTGATAGATCTGTTAAGGTCCCTATGGGTGAGTTAGAGGATGTTCTGATTAAGGTTGGAGATTTTATTTTTCCAGTAGATTTTGTAGTCTTAGAAACACAGCATGTTTCCAATCCCAAAGGACAGACACCTGTCATCTTAGGACGACCTTTCTTAGCCACTTCTAATGCTCTCATCAACTGTAGAACTGGTCAAATGAAGTTGTCCTTTGGGAATTCGACTGCTGATCTCAATATTTTTAATCCAGGGGACCAGCCAAACAATTAGCCTCTAGAAATAAATTACATTCAGAAAAGATCAGAAGAAGAAGAAGAAGAAGAAGAAGAAGAAGAAGAGTCTGATTTAAGTTTTGAGGAAATTTTTGATGAAGAGTTAGAGTTTTTAGAAGAAGCAGATCAGGTCCTTGAGAATAATGAAACTGTGTTAAACATTTGTTGCTTTGGATTAAATTTTGAAGAACTCTTTCTTGATGAACTTAGATTCTTGGAGAATAATCAACAACTAAATTTTCAGAACCCTACAGAAGAATTGGTTGTTAGAAAAAAAACTTCACAGTACAGAAGTCTGAGTTCATTAAGAAATATAAAATGCATGACACCAATAATGCCTACCTTACTTTGTTGCAAGAATTACTGAACACCCCGAAATGCTTAGAATTTCACATTATTGATTATATTATTCTGAATTTATTTAAAATCTGGGGTAGAATTTTTAATAATAAGGTAGGATTCAATGTAGAATACGAGCTCTTCGTGTTGAACACTTCATTCTACATTATTTGTTTTGTTTATTTCAGAATAATAAAAAGAATTTATTCTTCTCTCGTTCGAGAGTTTCTTATTCAGTTGAAAAAAAAGAAAAAAAAGAAAAGAATAAAAAAAAAAGAAGAATAAATTTTTGATTTCATCCTCCTCAGACCAAAGGTAATTGTAGATTTTTATCAGGTGATCAAATGTAAGTACTTCACTTCTTATCTGCTTTACTTTGTGCATCATAGAGTTTGCATTGAGGACAATGCAAAATTTAGGTGTGGGGGTGAGAATTAGTTATTTTTTTCTCTTTATTTTACATTTTGTATTTTTGTCATTTTTTTCCTTTTCCTTAAAAAAAATTATAAAAATATCGTCACTTGCCAAATTGATAGAGTTATGTAATAATTGATTTATTTGATAAATTTTAAAAATCTCTAGTTCGTTATTTACTCAAGTTTACGTTTTATGATAACTCTAAATAAATTTCTTAAGAAATAATTTTCAAAGTAGTATACTTCACTTAAGCCTTAACTTAGATTTTTATTTAAAATAATGGAATGTATGCATGCTTAGCTTAGAGTAAAAAATAATTTTTCAAAGTGTCTTGACTTACATAGTTTTCAGAATATATATACATATACATTAAAAAAAATATTTACAAAAGAAGAGTGCGAAAAATGAGCCCAAAAAAAAACTCTTAAATTCAAGGTGATTCTATCTTATAAAGCCTAAGTTGACCGAGTAATTAAGCCCAAGGAGTATTTCTATACTTAATGACCTAAGCCCAATTGGGTTGGGATCTATTGACCCAAAACTCGTTAAATGGTCGCTTAGAAAGCCCGTTAAAGTAGAAAAAAATCACCAAGGAAGAAAGAGAGTTAAAAAAAGAAAAAATTAATAAAAATAAAAATACTAATAATTGTTTTATATATATAGTTATATTTGTATATATGGTCTTGGAAAATATTTTATTTCTTGAGTAATAACTAGCTTCAATTATCAAGTAAATTTAGTTATTTACTAACTTCTTTAATTTGGCAAGTTGACCGAATTTTATGGGTATATTCATTGCAAACCCTCACGAGACTACAACTCGTCCACTAGATAACCTAGGGGTTTAAAGGCTTGTTGTATGCGCTAAATACAACCGTGATTCTTGCAAAAGTGAGTTAGGTTTTATTTCATTTTATTTTCTTTGCTAGAGGACTAGCAAAAGTTTAGGTGTGGGGGTATTTGATAATCATATTTTATTATAATTTTATACCCTCATTATCTATTTGATATGAATAAATATACCACTAATAATTATTTTTATCTTTAATTACAGGTTAATGAAGAATAAATATCAAACTCTCATCTCTCAACAAAGGCCCCTTGATTTAACACCAAAGCCCAAAGCCAAAAGCAAAAGAATGAAGCCCATGAAGCCAAATAATTTCTTTCAATATTTAATGAAGCATTAAAGCCCAAAATATCAAGAAAATGTCCAAAATTCCAAGCCCAAAAACCCAAGAAAAATAAATATACCATCAATGAACAAATGAAGAAGTTTTGTGAAAAAAGAAACAAATCATGCAATCTGGATATCTCGGTAATGTTTGGTATTTTGGTCATATCTCTCTCGTATCAACTCGGAATTGGCTAAATAAATATTCTCTGGAAAGCTAAGAACGAGATCTATAACTTTTGTATTTATGACATCTCTGAAATCGGAACATATCATGGACAAATATTCGTACAAAGAAGCACGATCTGAATTTCTGTGCTGGAGAAGTAATTATGGGAAGAATTTGAAGGTTAATAAAGAATAAATCTCAAGATCTCTTTTTTCAGCAAAAGCCCATTGAATTAATGAAGAAAACAAACAAAAGGCCTAAGAATTCAAGCCCAAAAGCTCAAAGGCTAAAAATAATTCCTTAGGGCTTAAGTCTTCATCCAAGGGCTCTCATTCATTGTTGTTTACTATAAATAGGGATAGAAAGTGAGGGGTTGAGGGTGTGAAAATTTTTATAACTCTATTTGGAGAGGAGGGCTACTCTTAATTGAGAAGACCTTCCAAAATTATAACTTTTGTTGCAATTAATAATAATAATTTTTTTCACCACTTTAAATTTTTCTCTTCTTCGCTTTGTTGGATGATGAAGATGAAGATGAAGATGGAGATTAATTTGAAGGTTTGTTTTTCTTATTTCTCTTTTATTGCTTATTAGTTTAAATTTATTTTCATGCTTACAGTTAGATTTTATTTTCTTGTTAAATAGCCAAGAGGCTAATCCTCTTGCCTTAGATTTATTTCATTCTTATAGATTAGATTTATTTCATGCTTATAGAGTAGATTTATTTTTTTACATTTAATTCTTGTAATTTATTTTGTAGTTTATATTTTACAATTTATTTTGTAGTTAGATTTTAATTTCTTGCACTAATCACCTTGAGGCTAGAACCCTCTTGGGTTTAGTTTTTCTTTTTGTTTATTTTTATTTTATTTGATTCACGTTTATTTTTATTTTATTTGATTCACCTTTAGGCTAGAACCCTCTAGGGAATCACCATTTTCTAAGAAGTGTGTTCAATTTTAGATTACCCATATCTATAATTGAATCCACCATCTTTAATTTCTTGCATTTTCTTTTATTCTTGAATTTTATTTCTTTTCATTCTTGATTTTTATTTGTTTCTTGATTTTTCCTTCTTGCCTTATTGATCACATTCATTCTTTGTCACATCCACTCTCACTTACATTTTGCGCCTATTTGCACACCATTTTTACTCTCTCAATCTCTTCACAATCACATTCACTCATCACTCCTAATTGTCACGCACACGACATAAGAACCGATTTTATATTTTCTCCTACAAAACACCTTCCTCGTGGGATTAATATCTTTATACTATAACTTGACACAGTTGTGCACTTGCAATATTTTTGGTACATGTTTATGCCGCATCAGAACTGCATCCAGACTAGGTGGCCAACATTACTGTTGCGGCAAAAAATAGGAAGATCCTAATTTGCATTGACTTCAAAGATTTCAATTTAGCTTGCCCAAGGGACAAATTCGTCCTTCTTATCGCAGATGTCATGATTGATAATATGTGTTAGGTCATAAATGGATTCTCCAGATATAATCAAATTTGGATGCATTCAGAAGATGAAGAACACATATCATTCCAAATGTTGTTTGGGGTATAATGTTATATGGTGATGCCCTTTAGCTTGAAGAATACTGTAGCTACTTAACAACATGTGATGAGTATAATTTTTCACGAGCACTTACACAAAATAGTGTAGTTCTATATTGACGACCTTGCAATAAAAAGTCTCCATAAAGAGGATTGGTTTAATGATTTAAAAATGATATTCAAAATTATGCGTAAGCATCAACTCAAGATGAATCCGACTAAGTCCTTCCTGGGGGTATCATCGAGTAAATTTTAGGGGCTTGTTATTAGGTCTAAAGGAATACACGTCGACCGAAAAAAGCAAAAGCAAGTTAGGAGGTGCCACAGGCAAGAAATCTCAAAGAACTTCGAGGTTTACAAGGATGCCAAGCCTATATTCATAGGTT